TATATGGAGTGTTATAGTTTGTGGTATAGAATGGAATAAACATAGTATTTAAAGGGTTATGAACTTATATCAATTATGCTAAAATAAAATTATAATATGCAAAAAATAAGCCATTTATCTGGAATGGTTTTTCCAACTGCTTGTTTGTTGATTCGCACAAATAGACAGAGTCATTTGGTGATATAATAAAAAATTATAAATAGGCTGAGAGGACTGATAGTTTAAATATGTAACGAAAATGCGAAGAGACATAATTGGAAGAAATGGAGAAGCTTAGTAAACTAAATTTTTTATAGGGCTTTTTATCTTGTTTTAAGTTCGACAAATAAAGGCTTCGTTTTTTCTATTGATTATGAGAATTATCAAGGATAAAAAAAATGTTTATAAAAAAGACTGGTTCTGAAGGAGAAAATTTTGAAAAAAGTTTTTTGGGATTGGGAAAAAAAATGGTACAACCAGTTGTAAAAAACGAGTTGACAATAAATATTATTAGTTAGATCATGGTATTATGTTCAAAATATACAAAGTGCCAAAAATTGATTTTTTAGACAAATAAAATACTCATTAAAAATATTTGTAAAAAAATTTATGTGAATATTTACATTGTTAAAACTTAATAATTAATTGAACAGTAGCCTAGAATACTGGGGTGGTTGTTTGGAGTTATTGTAAAATATTCATTGTGACCCCCCAAAAAAAGTTAAAGTGGCTGGGGAAAAGGAACATCGGAAATAAGATATTAAGTGAAAGAAATTTAAGGAAGTAAAAGGTAAAAAGTTGTATTGTTAGGCACTCTCTTCGTCGGTGAGGCAATGTGCGGAATTTAAGTAATGATTGGTAGAAAAACAAGAAAAAGTGTGAGATTTAATGAAAGATTAAAAGATAAGTAGTATAAAAAAAAGGGGAAACAATTAAAAAAAAACGAGAATCACGTGTAAGAATATGTGAAAGATAACCAGGACAATAATAAAAGCAATGTGTTAAAATACAAATATGGGTGCCAGATAGAGTAGGAGTGAACGGTATTGAATGTGTGATTCGAGAAGACTATGGTGGTTTACAGATATCCGTTAAAGGACATGAATGTTCAGAATAAGAGAAACGATCCTAACACGGTGAAGAGATTAATGAAAGGGAGAAATAAAAAAGCAAGTGCGATGAAAATCTGGCAATTGAAAAAAGGGTTCTTGAGAAATATTAATTCAGTACATTCCTAACAAAGACCGAAATTCAATTATCAATATAGAGACAAAAAATCATAAAGGTCAACCGGTTTGCCAAAAAGTGTGAAAGAAAGTGACATAATATATCTATTTCTTAACCTCATAAGACAACACCGTGTATTTCCACATAAAAATCCCTGAGGGGTGGTTGAAGGTACTCTGGAGGATTCAAACGTCTGCTCACTGTAGTCAAACTACCTGTTCTGGGGCCTCGAGATGATAATAAATAGATGTTAGCAGACCATGAAATGATATGGATACAAAACACGGTTGTGAACACAATGGAGCAAGTGCATATCACTGTTTGTGTGACCAAACAAATAGCAAAGAATAAATCAGTGTAATTGAATCATCAAATCACTATATTGTATACTTTATGTAAATGAAAGGCATAATATGAATTAGTGAATCATACTTGACACAATATATTTAGAAACACGTAAGTCTTATCATATTGAACCAGTAATACAGACCCCAATACAGCTCTACCACTAAGGGGATGGAAACTGATGGGTAATTATCACTGATTTTTTGTGCACAGTCTTACATTGCTTGTTGTTATTTGTCCTTTTTTATACTACTTTATCGGGCTGAATATTTTCAGTCAGCTTCCCCCCCCCCCCCCCCCCCCCCCCCCACCCCCCCCCCCCCCCCCCCCCCCCCCCCCCCCCCCCTCCACCCCCCCCCCCCCCCCCCCCCCCCCCCCCCCCCCCCCCCCCCCCCCCCCCCCCCCCCCCCCCCCCCCCCCCCCCCCACCCCCCCCCCCCCCCACCCCCCGCCCCCCCCCCCCCCCCCCCCCCCCCCCCCCCCCCCCCCCCCCCCTCCCCCACCCCCCCCCCCCTCCCCCCCCCCACCCCCCCCCCCCCCACCCCCCCCCCCCCCCCCCCCCACCCCCCCCACCTCGTATTGATGGTCTACATCATTACTTAAAGCCAACATTCCTCTCGCCCGAACAATACGTTTACTCTTGTACTGTATAATTCTTCACTTAATAACTTATTTCCTTGTCCCACCAGTGACTTTTTCTAACATGAAGAGTTTGCAATCATCAAATTATACTACTGTTCAATTAATTAAGTAGTTTAAATTAAATATGCACATAAATGTGTTTACATATGTTTAAGATATTGATTTCTAAAAAATCAATTTGATGTACATGTGAATAATAATAATAATATAGTATTTCAACTCGTTTTTTAAACTTTTAACAAGGTTTTTTAAAATAACCAAAGAATTTTTTAAAATTTTCACAGCGTTTTTTAAAATTTTTTGTAATCCTTAGAATGTCAGAAATAAATAGAAAAAACAACTTGATTTCGAATGAAGAAAGAAAAAGCCTTATAAAAAAAGTTATTGAAGATGGATACAGCGTCAAGGATGCGCGGCATTTCTTACAGATGTAAACTATTCTCAGGCCGCTACAAATATTATAAGGTTGTATAAAAAGGAATCGCGAGTTGAGAAGAAAAAAACAGGAAAATCATCAAATAAGAAGATATATATGCGGTGATATTATCAATTTTGTTGAAGAATTGATAGAATTAAACCCGTTAATAACGATGGTAGAAATTCGAGAAAAAATAGAAAACATATTTTCTATAGGCCTTTCTCTTGAATCTATATATATATAAGAAGGATAATTTATAGACTTCAGATTACTTTGAAAAATATTTCTTATATATACATCGGTCAATATAAATTCGGAATCCAGTAAAAACAAACGCCAAATTTATGCCCAAAATTTTATGAACATTGAAGATACATTTATAAAAGTTTTTATAGATGTAACTTCTTTTAATTTGTACTTAAGAAGAACCTTGGGAAGATCTACAAGAGGAAAACCGGCAAGTGCCCTAGTTCCATCAACGTGTGGAACCAATATAAGTTTAATATCGGCTATATATAACAGAAAATGAAGTTCTCTTTGCTAAACACATTTGTTGATTCGATGAATTCAGATAAGTTCATTCAGATTTTTTGATCAACTAATTGAAAAATGCGGATCCAATGAATCTTTTATATATAAATCTAATACTAAATTCTGTAAATCAATTAACCAACCAGGGATGATTTACAAGGTTATATTCAAGACACGTACGTCACAATTGTTTAAAAACGATTGCTAAAGAAGATTTTAATTAAAAGTAGTGAAAATTTTAAAAAATTTTTAGGTTATTTTAAAAAACCCTGTTAAACGTTTAAAAAACGAGTTGAAATACTATAATAATAATAATAATTTTAAATTTCAGCACAAAAACCACAAGTTTTATATCCAAATCAAGCAATTCCATCACCAGTTTATACAAATTTAAATGAATTAAAGAAAGCAGCTGCACGTAAATTTCAAAATCGTAATTCTCCCACTGTGAATACAATCCAGAGTAAAGGCGAAACTCTACAGAATAATGATAACAATTCATCATTGTATGCCAATCGTAAATTCAGTTTACAATTGAATAATAATAATAATAATGAATCAATGCTTACTCCAACAGGTTTAGGTGAATCATTTCATGTTAGTGATATAAACAACAAACTGAATTCAGGTAATTTCTAATTTTGAATTGAATAATCTGATTGCTGTACATGTTATATATATATATATATATGATTGAATGAATTTTACGTAGTATAGTGGTGGAAAGGTAGCGATCAACTTTCTTCTAAGCTCCCTAAAATGACAGTTTTCAATATTTTGTCCGTATTGTTTCATGTTGTTAGTGGGGACATAGATGGAATTAAAGCATGACTACGTTGCTGCACGCTGATTGGCTAGTTTCCTACCCAATCAGCGGCTAATTGATTCTTGGAGAACGGGGTAGAAAATTCTCGTGTTGTTAGCCGCACGCTGATTGGCTAAATCTAATCCAGTCGATCACGTGATTTACAATCCAGAAGCTTCTCATGAAAATACTATAAAGAATCTAACGTTGTATCTATTTTGCCTTCGCCTTCGGCTTCGTATTTCCATTTAACCTTGCTATGTTGAATATAATCTTTTCCTGTTCAACCGTGTTTTTGATTCTTGGGAACTTGCCCAGTGTATTGTTGTCAGAGAATACTAAGCAATAGGAATTAGCTGAGAATTATTTAAGCAAGTGTTACAACACATGTGAAAAATTGAGTTAGGATAAGTGTGCCATGTAGTTTCTTTTTAAAAATCAGATCCTGTTATAGGATATTCTCATCCAATATTCTAAGATAATTGTTTTTGTATGTCTAATTCTATTGATCAATTCCTATTGGTCGTGTTAACTGTCAATGTCACATACTTCAAATGTTGTTTCCTGTTGGTTGTGTTAACTGTATAAATAAGCATTATCTGTAACGTATTATGACCCAGAGCCGAATACAGATCCCTAGTCCGGGGACTTCATCCTCTTCTGGACTCGGACCTCGTACTTTCTGGATGTTTGTAAAATACAGATTCTCCTTCATATCAAGTCTTCTTATTCTACTCAATGGGGGTTTGGGACACTCGGATTTGTTTAGCATATCGTGTCCCCGGATCCTCGATCTTCGTTCTCGTTTTCTGACTAAAGTGAACTCATAATAGTTCAAGCATATCAAATGATCTGTTTACCTGTATTCGTAACAGATCCTTTTCTCATTGCTCAGAATGTGGGTGGTTAAAAATAATTTGAAATTGTTTTTCTTTCAGTGATTTGGATGTTGCAGTAGAATTTTCATAAGGAATTTCGTTTTTAAGCTATTTTGTTTATTCATTTTCTTCATGTAAGACAAGTTGAGTAGCTCAACAGACAATGATGATTTCATCACAGGCATATTATTATGTATATCTATGATTAAAATATCATCTTTAATGAAATCAATGCTCTGATTTTTGACATTTTTATCAACTAAATGAAGCAAAAAGTGTTCGGAGCACTGCACTTTTCTTAAACAGTCAGTCAGTCAGATGCAACGTAGAACTTTGTACGTAAGTACATCAGTTCATGTCGCCATACCATATTATTAGCACAGAGATGTAATTGTCAATTCAAATCCAAAAGTAGAAGAGGTAGTAAAGGTATCAGAAGTAGTCGGAGAGGTTAGAATTAGAAGATATTATTCACGAAGTATGATCCAATGAGATAAGTTTAGAAATTAAAAACTAGAGGGGTTGAAGAATCCAGAAGATTAGAATTTGAGAGAACACAAAGAATAAATGCATCGGCGCCATTGCAAACGATTTTGAGCATTGTCATTCAAGGTCTCTAACCATCGATTATTATCATCTCGCAGACCCCAACCAGGTAGTCGACAATAACCGACATGGCTCAGTCCAGTCGTCAATGACTCCATGGATTTCTGCCATGTTTTGGTCTGGCCGCCTCTAGCTTTCTTCCAACCTATTCCTACACTACAAAACAAAGCTCACTTTTATTAAACACTGAGAAAAAATGGTTATATTACCATATACGGCAGTTTTTTCTTTTTAGTAAAAACGTCAGTCATTTTGTATAACGTATCTTTATTGTACAAGTTGATCAGAATTGTATTTTTATGTTTACCAAAAATTGAAATGAATATCCTTGTAATCAATGCACATAACCTTCGATACAGATTAATTAAACATTACAATTTTCAGTTTCGTTTGACCAACTATGAAAAGTACATTAAAAACCAATGATGAAAAAAAGCAAATCATTTCGTTTAAAATTCAGTTGAAATTTTTTACGACAAACATCTTGTTACTCATGAGTAATATCTTTTGTGATAATTAGAGACTTTAAATGGCATAGCTCAAAATCATTTGCAATGGCGCAGCTGCATCTACTCTTTGTATTCTCTAAAATTCTAATCTTCTAAATCCTTCATCTCATCTCTTTCTCTGTCTCAATTTATCTCAGTAAATTACACTTTTTAAATAATATCTTCGAACCTCAATCTTCTGCATTACTGCTGATACTCCTCTTATCTTTACCACTATGGAATTTGAATCGAAAATTCCATCTCACTGTGCTAATGTGGTATGGCGACTTGAACTGTTGTATGTACGTACGAAGTTCTACATTGTACCTGACCGAATGACTGACTGAATAATATTATATTACACAAAATCGTTCGTGTGTTGTATCTGTGTAAGAAATCCTATTGGTGATAGCGATTCCGTCATTAGAGGCACCGAAATGCTTACAATAATCTTTTATTGAAATTTTCGCAATAAATTTAGGATGTTCACTAAATATCTTCCGAGGAATAATTCTGTAAGTGTAAATTCTATTGGTCGATTCCTATTGGTCAATATTATGGTCGTCCTAACTATCAATGTCACATACTTCAATGTTGTCTCCTATTGGTCATACTAACTGTCGATAACACTTCAAATGATGTTTCCGATTGGACGTCCTGACTATCAATGTCACAGACTTCAATGTTGTTTGTTATTCAACCTAAATATACAAATACGCATTGTTTGTAGCGTTTTATGACCCGAATCCTTAGTCCGGGATCCTGATTCTCTTCTGGACTTTGACCTCGTACTTTCTGGATGCTTGTAGAATACAGGTTCTACTTCATATTCAAGTCTTCTTCTTTAAACTGAATGAGGGTTTAGGACATTCGGCTTAAAGTAGTCTGTCGTGTTTCCGGATCATCGATCCTTGTTCTCGTTTTCCGACTAAGGTGAACTCGTCATAGTTCAAACATACCGAATTGACATGATTGCGTTCATGCGTAAGAATACCCTTCCATTTAATGATTTTTTTTTCTGATATGAAATATAACACATATTAGATATAACTATCCCATATTCTTTGTTTAAAACGTATCGTTTACTTAAACTTTCCCCCTAATAATATTACTGTTTTTTTTATTCAAAATAAATCAACAAATCAGATTTATCACAATCCTCTTCACATTTCATTTGGCCACCAATAACAACATTAGATTCTGTCCATAGTAGTGATTATAGAATGTCAGAAATCAGTTCTCCTTCAATTATACAATCATCAATGTATCCATCCACTACTTCTGTTACTGCTATTGCTACGAATGGAAATACTCATAATACTAATAATACTACTACTAATAATAATATGAGTAGTTTATCTGATGCAACACAATCTTCTACATTCGACAACAATAATACAGATATTGGTTACATAAATACCATTGTTAATTCTGGTACATCAACATTTCGACGACGTCAGTCGGAATATTTTAAAAAATCACTAGATTCAACATTATCAAATGGCAGTGTGTGTTCATCTCCTCCACCTCCTATTGCTCCTTTACCTATTGCTCCTTCTTCATTAAGTCCATCATCTTCGATTGGGAAAAATTCCAATAATTATGCTTCAGTGACACCAGGTTTAATACGTCGTGGTAGTCAGGTAAGGATAATTTTTTTTAGTAATTGATTTGTTTGTGAAACTATGTTGATATTTAGTATCATTATAAGTGTTATATTTTGAGCAGTAAAGCCAATTTTTTTCACATTATTGACTTACTTACGCTTGCTACCCCTCAGGGAGCATAGGCCGCCCACCAGTTCCCTCCAACCAACTCTGTCCTGGGCTTCCCTTTCCATTTCTGTTCAGTTTTTGTTCATTCCTCCCATATCTTTCTCTATTTCTCGGCGTAATGTGTTCCTTGGCCTTCCTCTTTTCCTTTTGCCTTGAGGGTTCCATGTGAGGGCTTGTCTTGTGACGCAGTTAGGTGCTTTTCGTAGTGTGTGTCCTATCCACTTCCACCACTTCCTCCTGATTTCCTCCTCCACTGGAATCTGGTTTGTTCTCTCCCACAGTAGATTGTTGGTGATGGTGTCTGGCCAACAGATCCAAAGTATTTTGCGTAGACAACTGTTAATAAGCACTTGTATCTTGTGGGCGATGGCTTTGATAGTTTTCCAAGTTTCCACTCCTTACAGTAGAACCATCTTGACATTCGTATTGAAAATTCTGACTTTGGTGTTGGTTGATAGTTGTTTTGAGTTCCATATGTTGTTCAATTGTAGAAATGTAGCCCTTGGTTTGCCAATCCGCGCCCTCACATCTTTTTTTTTTTTTTTTTTTTTGTTGATGATGCTGCCCAGATATGTAAAGGTGTTAACGTCCTCTAAGACATCTTCATCAAGAGTGATTTGGTTTGTGCATGTTGTGTTGCATTGGACAATTTTACTTTTACCTTTATGTATGTTGAGAGCTACTGCTGCAGAGGCTGCTGCTACGCTGGTTGTCTTCTCTTGCATTCATTGTTGTGTGTGCAGTAGAAGAGCCAGGTCATCTGCGAAGTCCAGATCGTCCAGCTGCGTCCTAGCTATTCATTGAATACCGTGCTTCCCTCCAGACGTCGTCGTCTTCATAATCCAGTCGATCACCAGGAGAAAGAGAAATTTTTAGGGTAAGCAACCTTGCCTGACACCGGTCTTCACCTCGAAAGAGTCTCTCAACTGTCCTCCGTGTACGATTTTGCAGTTGATTCCATCACAAGAATTCCGTATAATGTTGACTATCTTCTCAGGCACACCGTAGTGTCGAATAAGCCTCCACAGTGTTGTCTTGTCCAGGCTATCGAATGCCTTCTCGTAGTCGATAAAGTTGATGTAGATTGGTGATTTCCATTCAATTGATTATTCCACAATGATCCGTAATGTAGCAATTCGGTCAGTACACGATCTATCCTTACGAAATCCGGCCTGTTGATCTCGAAGTTGGGCGTCTATGCAGTCTTTCATTCTGTTTAACAATACCTTGTTGAAGACTTTGCATGTTGTTGAAAGAAGACTGATGCCTTTATAGTTCTCACACTTGCTGAGATCACCTTTCTTTGGTATTTTTTAATCAGGTATCCTATACATACATATATATATATAATGAGTGTTATTCTCAAATATAAGTCAATTCAATAAAAAAATTTGTACATTTAATAATTGTAAAAACAAAAGAGCAAGAAAATGAATAGTAGTAGTAGTAGTATGAGAAACAATGAGAAATTGTTAGATTACATGCATCCTTAGGCCGACACTTATCTAATGATGAAAATTATATAAGGTTAATTTCTTAAGGTCATAACAACAATAAATGATTTTTACTGTACACTGGACATTTTAAAAGATTAATTTGTTTTGTTCTGTTTTTGTGTTTCAAAGGAATGAATTAAATATTTTCATGTGTTAAACTTTAATAGACGACTGGATAATATTATGTGTGTCTGTCTGTGTGTGTGTTGGTTCGT